GGAATGAACACCAGACCTGACAACAGGTCGCCCTTAAAAGATACTCCTGAGCAGTGTTCATAGCTACACATCCATTCCTGGATGAAGCTTAGATACCCATCTATAAGAAATTTCCCTTGAAAGGGGTTCTCAAAATGAATGGGGTTCTCATTGCTTTGCTCGTCAATACTGACCATTGGCCAGCATTTTGGTTCTGTGGGTGAGGCATCTGGTGCCAGGCTTTTAACTGCTGCTATGGGTGAAGCATCTGGCGCCAGGCTTTTAACCATGGCGTCTTCCTTGCTTTGCTCCGCTACCAATGTTGACCTTTTACATTGGCCAGCGCTTTAGTTCTGTGTTGCTATGGTTGGTGCATCTGGCGCCAAGCTTCTTGGCCTTCTGGGTTTCCCCATATGTCCTTAGAAGAGGTGAGTGGGAGGCATGAACAAACACCTAATAGAACACACATAGTATATGGTATACTGTACTGTGAGTCTACTGCGTGATGGCCCAAGGAAAAACGCGTCGGTTGGGGATGAAACCCAATCAACGCGACGAAAAGAACTTTAGTTTATCTGTAAAAGTTGCGTGCTTCCCTCCGTTGAAGGGGTCGTTTCCCTTCCTTAAAATTTGGCTGTTTGTTCCTGAGCTTTGCTGAGACAACATCAAACCGGTGGTTGTTTGGTTTCTCTTCCCATGTACTTCCACATTGATTCCGGAACTCGACACCACTCCGGATCACAACATGCAATGTTTTCAGTGTCACAGACACACAGCTTTGCCAACGTTTCCAAATCTTCGGGTTTTTGACAACGTTTGCGTTTTACAAACGTTACAGTATTCGAAGTGGTGCGTGGCACCTTGCTGGAACTGTCACCTTTCCTCTGTTAACTTTTCTACAAAGAGCCGGACAGAGAAAAGGGTGTCCAAGAATTAAACTGAACAACGTTAGTCCTTGTTCTCGGTAGACACAAGGCGTGGTGTCCGATCGGATACTTTACACCCTCTTACGATTCGTTTTGTTTTGCTAAGGAGTGTATTCAAGTGGAAAGACGTGGCAAGAAAGCCAAAACCCTTCAACGACTGCACTGAAAAAACAAACAGAGCGTTGCAGTGCACAACAACATATATAACGTGAACTTCAAATTGGCCCCGTCTCGCTCTTTTTTCTGACCAACGGCCAACGGGTGAAGCGGCAGCTTGTCCAAAACGTGCATCCAATCCACCAGTGGCCTTCTCAAGCCCGCTTAGGGGCAGAAAAAAATCAGTGATCAGCTGACGAACGCTTCGTACACCCGCTAGGCTTGTTGTCCGTCAAGACCTGGCGACACTTGTTGTCAGTGGCTTCTCCGAAGCTGACTTGAAAAGCCTGTCTATCAAGAGCTTCTCCTTTTTTGCGGTTGGCGGCGGCCAGCAACTCCGACTAGGAGTTTGCAGAAGATAGAAACTGAAAGGAAGGGTGTCGCAAAACAGCTTTTTTGAATGCTTCCGAAAGAAGTGCCCATCAGGGCTGGTAGCTGGACAAAACTTCACACAGCAAACGCGTTTCCGAGGTTTGGACGACCAAAATCTGACATTCATCAAAACGTTCTCCATGCGACAAAAAATCGTAGGCAATATCCTGGGCCAGCGTAAAGAATTCAAGCAACACTTCACCGTGAGAACAAGCGGACTTTCAGGGCGGGGCAGCAATTCTGGAGGCATCCTCTTCGTCATAGCCGCGTCCCCCTACCTTACACTCATTGCGCGCAAACATACAGCGAGCAACACATGGACTTTACAGCTTTGCTTCGTGCAACGGAGGCGCTCTCAAAACCCTGTTCTTGTCGACTTTGATTTCGTAGCAACGGAGCAGCGGTATGAAGCTGGGTTTGCCAATCGACGAAGCATTCCCGGGGCCTTCAGAAAATTGCAATAGGTTCAATGGTCGAAAACAAGTTTCCAAAATTGTTGAAGCAGCAGCATCCTGCCTGGGCGCGCAAGTTTTGTCCGAGATGTTTCGTCAACCATCCGGGCTGCCGCTGGTCTTTTCATGCTGGTTTAACCCTTTAGCTACCTACCCTGAACATGTGAGCAGGCTGTCACGTTCCCAAACGCTGTGAAATTTAGCACGATTCGCGGCAGTTAAGTGGGGCCACGCGAAGGCAATGCTGGCACAAGCTTTTCACAGTAAAAACAACCTAACGCAAAGAAGCCCACACGTTTTCTCCCGGCCAGGCACAGTGCCGCGCCAACTTCTTTCAAGAGATCTCAGAAAGAGTCAGCTTTGCATCTTGGACTCTTTCCAAAATCTATCAGTTGACATCCTTTGGGTCGATGTCCTTTGACTCTTCGTCCGCCGCAACTACCTCATCGGTTTCCGGCGCCTCTTCTTCGGCACCTTCTGCCTCTGAGTCCAAAGCAACGTCGCCCGTGCCCTTTGTCTCACCTGCAGACATATTTATCATGAAGTTTTCTTTAGCTGGAACTTGGGGCGCCTGTTGTTTTTGAAGGGGCCGAAGTAGGACCGGACATCTGCGACTTAAGGCTTGCCTCAATACTTGGCAAACCAGAAGGTATTCAGGCATAGGTCGCAAGAAAAAAGGGATCCACATTAAAGCTCAACTTTCCAAGCTCCCCGCAGCCAGCTCTTTGCAAAAGCGAAACGATTCCCCTCGCACCAGATGAGTCCTCACAATTTCCTCAACACAAGAAGTCATATATGAACTTCAATCATCAATCTTCGACAGGCAAATTAGATTGCTGGGGAAGCGGCTGCTGCTTCCTTACACTTCTCTGGTTCCATGTTCTTGCCCCCAATCTGCGAAGACCAAGAACAAAAAATAGCTGAGACAACTGGCGCAAGATTAGCCTGGAAGATTTGCTTGTTGTTCACTTTCACACCCCAGGTGTTGTTCGCTTTGTGAAAATACACGGCGGAGGTCTTGTCGTCGGGGCCTATTCGATAAAAGACTGGAATGGAATTATAATGGCAACTCAGAGAAACTCACGATCAAAAGATTGGGGTTAAGGAGGCGGCTTCTGCTACAAGCGTGGGCCTGCTGCGGCAGCTGCTGGTTTCTTGGCTGCTCCGGATTCTACTACGGCAGCTGCTGGTTTCTTGGCTGCTCCGGATTCTACTTCCTCATCCCCATCCTTCTCAACTTCATTCTCCGCCTTCAAAGCGCCCTCACTTACAGACTTGGCTTTGGCTTTGGCTTTACCCTTCGACTTCGGTGCCCCTGTAGCCTTAGCTTTGCCCTTCGGCTTAGGCAACAACAAAGCCTTCACTTTGGCTTTTCCCTTTGCTTTAGGCTTGGCAGGTCTCGGGTCGCCCAGGGCCGCAGATGGCCGCTTGCGGATGGTGGGCTCGAGTTTGCCCTCCTGAACACCAGAAAAGTTTACTTACACTCGTTGTCTTGTATATTATAAGTTCGAGCGCGCTCAACTTAGCAAAACCCGTCCTTGTCGCTCTCACTGAGGTCCACCACCGAGGGTAGCACGGACATGGCTTTCTAGGAAATCAAACTAACACGGTCTCTGTGCCTCAGCCACCTCAAACACAGAATGAGCACATTTTCGCAGTACAGGAAGCCGGCGCATTCAGAAGGATGGCCCTTGATGGGAGTTTCCCAAAAAGATGCGTTCTTTTCAAATCACAACCATCTTAGAGTAGCAATGGAAAATCCTGCCGGGGTTTGGTGATTGAACTGCCAGCAAGTCTGGTCATGGCGCAGTCTTAGCGCTGAGAGAAATCCAAATGAAGCCAAAAATTTCTGTCAGGTGCCAGCGCACAAGTATATAGGGAAAGTATTTCCAACCATAGAGCACTTGGTTTGCCAGCTCTTTTGCAAGCACAAAAGGTTCAGTACAAACGGAACTTTGGAAGCTCTGCTTTTGGCTGGCCCTGACAGCAAAAGGCTGAATCACTGATACCTACGTCCCTTTTGTGAGCTTGGCCCACGACTTGGGCGGCAAGCGGACCTGGCACGTCAACCACACCTTGGGTTTCAAACCTTGGACCCCATAGTTTGCACCGTCACCTGCAGCTTTCTGCGCAACAAACCAGCAACAACAATAAAACACAGTGAACATCGCAAATACATGCAAATACACCACAGCGGCACAAGCCTCCCGCGCAACTGACACAACCTTGTCTGCTGACTGGACTGGCAAGCGCTCCATGTGCCCAAGGTAGACAGCGCCAAGCGTGGCGGGTTTGTGCGACTCATGGTCAAACTCCTTCCCCAATGGGTTTGGTTTGAAGCAGTTGGTCCTTTCCGCTGGATTCACCTTGTACCGGTACGGGATGCTCTCTGTCTTCCCGTCCTCAGCCTTGAGATAGAAACCCAAAGGAAACGGACAACTCACTGATGATAGATCAGAAAGGTCACGGGGCTAAAATGAACGATTAAACGCTTAACGTTCCATGACTTTTCCAAAAAGTATGAACACACTGGCGCTAGTCAGACATGCGAACATTGGACAAGGAACTGGAACTGCCCGCGTTTGCTGGGAAAGCTCGTGGTCCCAAATGGAGAAGTCCGTGAGCCCCTTCTCTCGAGTCATCGTCCACAACGCTGCGCAGAAGTGCATCGGTGTTTTGTTGTACGAAACGATGCCCATGTCAGAAACCAAGCGCCAAGGAATCAT